CATTAATAATCCTAATCATCTCTGCATATTTGCAATTAGGTTTCTATATTTTTTCAATTTGCTTCGTTTTTCAAAGAATGCATTTAATGATTATGAAATGATATTGTGATATTTTTATTCCCAATCTGTTTTTATCTCAGATGTCCTGGAGTAATTTTGTACTGTTTTGTAGTCATGCAGCTGGGCTGGGAGCCCAGTTCCAGTACCTGCTGCTGGCTCTGCTGGTAAGATGCAGCTAACCAGAATCACACACTCTGCTCACATGCATGTTAATAAATGCAACTTTTGAATAGCCTTCTATGGACTTCACAAAGTGCATGATTAGAAGACAAAGACACAGTCTTAATATTTCCACAGGGCTCTGCCTGTATAGCAGTTCCTCTATGGCAAGCAGTTCTTCTGAGAATAGGAAAAAAGGCCACAGTTATCATCGGACTATCAGTAAGAAATCACAGATCAGATATCCCTGTACAGTAATCTGAGTAATAAGTCATTTTGCACACCTTAAATCTCCTCTTACCTGAGACGCCTGTTTCTGTCTCTCTCAGCTCTTCATCCCTGCAGTGATCATAGTTGCCTGTGTTCCCAGTAACCTGCCAGTCTTCATGACTATGTGCATTCTGATGGGGTTCAGCATAGCGACTGTATTCTTGCTGCCATGGTGAGTCACTTCCCTGCTAGGACACAAAGTTCTCAGTCCTTTCCAAGGCCCCTGTCAGATCTGATCAGAATCAGAGCTGAATGTGCACATGAATCATTCACATCGCCTCTACCTGACCTGGCCACTGATGAATATTCTAGCATCAGTGGGTTTTGTTGACTGGTCAGTTTCCTCATCTGAATTGACATGTGGTTTTGACTGAGCTGCTCGCCATCCAGGACCTCTACATCCAGCGCTGATCATCTCCCACCCCAGACAGGCAGTACAGGAGTGTCCGGACCTGAACCAGCAGGTTCACAGACAGTTTTTACCCACAAGCTATCAGGCTAATGAACTGCTGACATTTAAACTTGCACACACACCATATACTACAGTAACACAATGACATACAGATACTACATTGATTGGACCGTCAAGGAAAACTGCAGTTTACACTGTTTATACTTGTCACTTTAATTTCTATCACTTATATTCTTTTTATTTTAGGTAATTACTTTTTATACTATTTACACTACACCTATTTGTTGTACTTAAGACTTTTATATTTAACATTAATTATTAATTAATTATTTAAATACTGTTTTATTTTTTACTTCATATGTAAATTGGCTCTGAGACCAAGAATTGCATTGCTGGCAACGATGATCCCATCGTTAAATGCATATGACAATAAACTTGAAGCTTGACATGTTATGTCACCTTGTAATGTACAGTATCTGCTACAGGCATGGATGGATTATTGAATGGGCTTACCGACCAGAGCCTCTCTTTGAAGTGACTTAACTTTTCTCTTTGGAAAGTCAGCAGAATACAAAGAAGAAAAACGACTAGAAAGACACACAAAATAACCACAAAGCTACGACGAAGATGCAAAAACCATATTGATACACAAAAAATCTACGAAGAGGTGCAACATGATTACAAAGGGACACAAAATACCACAGACACAGAATGATTGGCACAAAATATTTGTAGTCAAAATAGACTTAAAACAATCACAAAGAGACAAATAAACTGACTACAAACAATATTTTGTCTCTTAGTCTGAGGGACTTGCTCCTATGTAGGAGGGTGTGGGCATTTTACATAACTTTCTCACAATCTGCCCGTGGCTACAGGTCAATGCTCCCAGATGTGGTGGACGACTTTGCCATGAAACATCCCTCCTGCAAGGACCTGGAGCCTCTGTTTTTCTCCTGTTATGCCTTCTGCAATAAGCTGGCAGGAGGCCTGTCTGTTGGAATCTCAGCCATGATATTACAGTGAGTCAATCTTCCATCATCTCACTTTGTGTTATCTGTGTTCATCTGTTGATCCGTCACATTTTGTTTACTCCCTCTGCAGGTTTGCGGGCTACAGAGCGGGTGCGTGTCACCATGCTGATGGAGTGGTGATGGCTCTGATTGTGCTGTTCTCGCCAGTTCCCATTGCACTTCTGCTGATGGGGCTGGTCTTTTTCTGCACCTACCCAATCAATGAGAGGCAGCTCCAGGAACAACTGACCACAGTCCAGTAAGTGGCTTTTTTTTTGGTGTATTATCCTCTTAAGAGATGAAGCCACAAATGGTTCATGACATGTCAACTTTAAAGTGACTATAATGGGGATTTATACATATTAAACTTTTTTTTAACAGTGTATCAGATAAAATGTCAATTGTGAAAACAATGTGAAAGAGGTCACTGTAGAGGTGAACCTCTCATAGCATCATTTTTGACCACAGCAGGCAGATATTTCCAGTAAAAAGATTGGTCTCTATCCAGCACCAAACATTAGACAAAGTTAACAATTAGCTGATGTAGACATCAGGAGCTGGTGGAGACCAAAAACGGCGCTGAAAGAAAATGTTTTAGAAAATGTTAATTAATAAGCTTTAGGGATGTTAGTAAGCTTATTTGTGCTAAGCTACGCTAAAGTCGAAAGATATGAGAGATATTTATCTTCTCATCTAAGCAAGAAAGCAAAAAGTTTATTACCAAAATGTAAAACTATTCCTTGAAGCGTTTTTCATGAGAAGACCAAGTAGTCAAACCATATAGCTGCATCACAATAGCTAATAGCTAGTCTAATTAAGTAACAAGCAATGAATGCAAAGACTGTTCTCACTCTTTCATGATTCATAATATTGGCCTCTTGGGACAATTTAAAAAAAAAAAAACAGCAGTTATCAGATTATAGTAACATACTGTACATGGTTTGATTCTGCTGCAACTATACAGTAGTTATTATTTTTCTCTTTATTCTTCATCTAGCCCAGAAGCTACCTCATTGTCATTATCATCATCATCATCATCATCATCATCACCATCATCAGACTCAAGAGAAAATGTAGAGCAGCCCCATGTTGGTGTGACATCAACTAAACATTATAACACAAAGACCAACAGATTGTACAAGTCAAATTCCTCACCCTGTTTTCATAGTCATGAGAAAAAATGCTCGATGAAGTCATCTGCCCGTTCAGATGTACTCAACCGCCCATCTACAAAATACAGCAGACCTAAATCAGTTGTCCAGTCAAATGTAAAACCTCAGTGTCATAAACAGAGACTCGGCTCTCACCAGCGTTCTGGAGAAGCTAGCTTGGGGAGAAATCTTCTTGAAAATGATCCAGGGTCTTTCTCTAGCAGATCAAATGTGAGATCCAAAGTTTCGTGGGTATAGTCAAAAACCTTAATGTGATAGTTTGAGATCTTGGGAAATATGCCTTTTCACTTTGAGTTTGAGCTAAGAGTTTGATGAGAAGATTGACACCTCATGTCTGTATGCTAAATGTGAGGCTACAGCCAGCAGCTAGTTAGCTTATAGCTTAGCATGAAGACTGGAAACAAAGGGAAATGGCTTGCCTGGCTTTGTCCAAATTAAAAAAAACAAAACAAAACAAACACCTACCAGCACAATTACAGCTTCATATTTAGTATATAGACATGAGAGTGGTATTGATCTTCTCAAAAACTTTGGTATCAAAATACTGTCATCTCTAAAAACTAGCTTTTATAGATGCACTTTTGAGCTCACTGTTATTCTTGCATTTGTGGCCAGACTGCAATTGTTCTATTTGATTTGTTTGTTTATACAATTCTGTGAAAAATGTCTGTTTTGGAAAGGAAGCTTTTGCTGTCATTGTGATTTATGTTGACTTGACTTTTGGAAATTAGAGTAGCTTCTAAAAAACTAGCCAAAAGTAAAGTGAAATTGGATTTACATTGACTAGATGGACAGAAACAAGATGAATGATGATGTTGCTCTGTAACTGCTGAATGTGTAAATAAACTGCTAACAAGTTCACAATGTCAGTTTTTTTTTTTTTTTTTTTTAGAGATGACAATGAAATCAGTTATTGCAAGTTTAAGCTAAACAAGTAATCGCATCATCATTCATAATGCCACAATGTTGCAGTGCTCTTTCTGATTGTCTTCAGTTCTCAATGAGTCTGTTGCATAGTTTCAATGATCTCCTCACTTCATGCTGTTTACCTGTTTATGAGGTTAATGGCTCAGCAGCCATCAACATGCAACAGTGTTACCACTAAAAAGAAGTCAGAGTAAGGAACATAAGAACAACCCCTTTCACTAGTAGGCCGTTTTCACTGCAGGCACTTTGACTTGTTGAAGCAGGTAAAACACAGGTGTAACCAATAATAGCGATGATTGCTCTATTCCCTTTGTGTACTGCTGATGCTACACCAGCGAGCCAACATGCAGAGCACTGCAACAATGTGCTTGTTGACTCTAAGTAATTTTGTTATTCATTACACCTGTGCCTTTCCAGCTGTGACATTTCAAAATGTCTAAGAGAAAAGTTTGTTGATTGGCTCATAACATAACAATAAGCCCCTGGGCACAGACATGTAGGCCCCCGACCCCTCCTACATATAGGAGCAACACTGTTTTTCTTCTTTTTGCAGTTTCGCATCTTTTTTTGGTTTTGTGCCTCCTTGTAGTTAATGTCTTTGTGGTCATTTTGTTTTTCTTTGTAGTTGTTTTGCTTCTTTTTGTAGTTAGTGAGGTCATTTTGTGTTTTTGCAGTTGTTCGCAGAAGTCATATAGGACTAGTACCAAATTCAGATATTTTTCCTGACAGCTTGGAGTATGACCCCCAGAAGCACCTCTAATCATGTCACCCAGGAAACACTTTTTTTTTTTTTTTTTAAACAATCAGACAGTGGTAGGACCTACACAAAGTTGAAACATGTCACTGTCACACACTTTATAAAACGGTTTCTTATGTGGACTGATGTTCAGTTTTCACATGAAATTATGTATGGCAATATATATATATATATCTATATCCATGGTGACTTGGTGCGTTTCCCCCCATCTATGCTCACCCGCCCGTCGACAGGCCGCCCCTGTCTCCTGCTTCCGCTCGCATTGTAGGGTGGTTGAGAGGAAGGATACCGAAGAGCGAAAATGGGAGTAGAAATTGAGACCATAACTCCGGGCGATGGTGAGAATAATTGTACTTGCTTATCGGCGTTATTCTATATTCCAGAAGAGCGTCTGGTTCATTATTATACACGCTTTCTCTATTTTCTCCTGGTTTCCAGGACGGACATTCCCGAAGAAGGGGCAGCGCGTCGTGGTTCACTATGTCGGTGAGTGGAGAAGCTGGAGTACAGCCGGAGCTACTGGATGGAGCTGAGAGATTTGCAAGCAAAATGTTTTCATTTTAGCGAACATTGACCGCATGCATCCCGTTAATGCTATCCGTTAGAGGTGCTCAGTGTTTGCTTGAACTAGGGGACCTAGTAGAAACTGGAAACAGCGGCTTGTTGTGCTGTTAGCATTGAAGCTAGCGTTCAATGCCCTGTTAAATAAATTGTCTCTTGTGTCTTTTCGGCTAGCATTAGCCAATGCAATATTAGAGCCGGGCATTTGCTGGCCAACTCGTGTCATTTACTCCGTAATTGAATTGGGGCCGTGTTGTCCTTATGCGAGGCATTAAGAGTAGTCGAGCTAACGGAACCGTAGCTGCTGTCAGCCGCCTAACGTAAGCTAACCAGCCCCATGATGCTAGCCGGCTAACGTTAGCTCTGTTACCGTTAGAAGACTGCTGGGCACAGACAGTGTTGAAAACTAACTAAGAACATTTACTACAGTCAAATTTTGAGGTACTTGTGCTTTACTTTAGTGTTTACTTACTTTATAATGCTACCTCACTACATTTCAGAGTGTAATGTACTCTATACTCCATTATATTTATCTGACAGCTGCAAAATCATAAGAAGAAGACGCAGGATAAGCTCACTGATTACAATACAAAACTCCCTTTAAAAAGTTGTCTCCTTGGGGCCTCTTGTTAATTTGGCTGGGTATTGGCACTCATCACCGACTGCTTTCAATTCACAAAGTCCAGAATGGATTCATTTTGATTTGTTTCCATTCAGTTTTTGGTGATTCAGTTACATCAGTAATATATCAGTGTTGCGATTCTCAGAATTTATCCTGGGATCTTGAATTTCTTCTACATTCAACAAGAGTGTTGCACTGTTTCCTTGAATATAAAGTTGTGTGAAATGCAAATTATTGGCCAAATTGTGAACACATTTCCCATTTATAAAACTGATGACCAACTATTTATTTTCTTTAGCAAGTGCAGAATGACTTAAAACATAATACTTCAATCTATTTAGGTCTACATGTTGAACATTTGAGCAAGATTAACAAAAAACTTGCACCACTGTACATAATCATCATGCATATTTTAATAAACTAATGCTATCCCATACAGCTGTGTGTGGATGGTCAGTAGCAGATAATTCAAGTAAGTACAGCATATCCACTTTAATGATCAGATTGAGCTCAGACAGGGCAGAAAGTGAAAGTCTGCTCACTAATTCATTTAAACTTTTTGTGCACTGTTTGTGTTGACAGCACATCAACCTGATATCTGCAGACAGCTGTTGGCTAGTGTTAGCTCCTGAGAGGGACAGACTACATCTCGTAGCCAGAGATGATATCTCTTCCACCGACACAAACGCGGAGCTTTAGTCTGTCCCTCTCAAAGCTACGATCCATCACGAGATGACCAGAGTCAGCTAACCATCCTGAATCACAACAGTCCTGCAAACTGCAGCTAGTCCAGACTGTAACAGTTCATGTCATAGTTTACAAGACTGTTGTGTCTCAAGGCGGCTCACATAGCTAGTTATATTTGTTACTTTTTAATTTAAGATTACCTTGTAGTGCAGATTGTAATAACGATGATTTCCACAAAGTAGTCATTTTACACATCATGCAGCCCTACCTGAACTACTGTCAACTAACCCACATATACAGAACATATAGCACAGATGTACTGTACTGAGTAAAGATTGATTTTGGGATTTTAAGAATCCTTATTGGAACATTCATATAAAAAAAGCTATTGATTTGGAAGTCTTTTTTTTTTTTTTTTTTAAATCCAGCCCTACTTGTTACAGGTTTCAAGTGTCTGAGTAGTTAGTTTTTCCACTTAAGAGACATTCCCCCTCTAAACGTCTCAGATGGTTTCATAACTGTTCATGGGCACAAAGAGTGAAAATGATCTTGCATTTCACAAAAAAGAAAGTTTAGAGAAAAATCAATAACCAGGAAACAGGTTTGTGTAGCAGGATTTTGTTTTTGTGCTTTCCCATTAATCATCTCATGACCTCTCAGCTTTATCTTGTGACCCATCAGAGAAGCCCAACCCCTATGTTGAGAACCACTGACTTACACTACCGAACTATATAATGTTGTTAAAACTAGCTCCACCTCAACCAGCAACAGTAGTTTAACACTGCTTACACATTGATGCTTCAGTATTAACAATCTAATACTTTAGAGATAAATATATAACATTATCATAATTCAAAATCATACATTTGTAATTTTACTTAAGGAGTGTTACTTGTAGTGGGATATTTTACATTGTTGTATTGGTGCGTTTCGAGTACCTCTTCCACCACCGGATACAGAAAGGTGGGACTCAACAAACCAAGCTGTTTGTCGAATGATAAATCCCGAAATCGCCGACCCGCTTCCCCTCTCTTGGTTTTTATCAGGCACACTGGCAGATGGGAAAGTGTTTGACTCTTCGCGGTCCCGGGGGAAGCCGTTCAAATTCAAGATTGGACACCAGGAGGTTATCCGTGGTTGGGAGGAAGGAGTAGCCCAGGTGAGGAGGAACTTTTCCCATTGACTGAAATGCTCAAGCTTATTACTGGACATTCAGTTCTCAGTTGGAGGATATAGTTTTGTTCTGTTTAACTCTGTTGCATTAAATTTGGTGTTTGTTAATCCTCATTATATAAAAGGGGTGGACAAAATAACAGTAACACCCGAATGTATAACGCAATACAAATAAACTGTAGCCACCTAGTTGAATCAACAATCCAAACCATTTAAACATAAATGAACAAAAACATAACATTCATGAAAGCATTATTCATTCCAGGACTGTTGTTAGGCAGTTTTAGATGGGTGTCTGTATAAACAGGCCACTGAGTGTATTAGAGCTTCAACTATTAATTGATTTGTTGATTGATAGTTTTAGCTTCTAATTAAGGATGAATCCCAAATGTTTACTGGTCCGAGCTTCTCAAATGAGCGGATTTGATGCTTTCCTTTGTCATACACCATAGTAAACTGAATATCTTGGGTGGTTGACTGTTGGTCAGACAAAATAAGATGTCTGAAGACATCAGACTACAGTATATACAAAATTGATAATTGAGAAAAATAATCACCAGATTAATTTATAATGAAAATAATATGGTTTTAGCCTTGGAGTGTATATATACTGTATGTATTATTGCAGTTTTTGAATGAGATATGTTAAATATTGTGTGTGTTGTTTAATTCAGTAGCAACAGTAGTAGAAGTAACGTGTCCATCTCCCCCACAGATGAGTGTAGGTCAGCGGGCAAAGCTGATTTGCTCACCAGACTTTGCCTATGGCAGCAAAGGGCACCCAGGGATCATCCCACCCAACGCCACTCTCACCTTCGATGTGGAGCTGCTGAGCCTGGAAGCCTGAAACTTGTGCACTCACTTTGTTAAATTCCACTCAAATTTTCAGGGTGAGAAGTTTTAAATAATTTGTATAAACAACATGATTATGTGCATCATATACGGTGCAGATGGGGTAATTGATTTGGCAACTGTGTCACTTTAAAGTATCTCAAAGCGCAAGTGGTGGTTATGCAGTGATAAATGATACTGGGTTGCCCATAAAGCCTTTTCGTTTTTTCAGCACTGTGATAACATTTAAGCACTACACATGTACACTGACTATACATTTAGCCTTTGTAATTTACTCTGTGATGTTTAGATAGTAAATGGTATGAGCATAACAAGCTTTAGTCTGTTTATGCTGTAATCCCCTTTTGCCTCTCCTCCTTAATCACAGCTCTAAGACGCTTCTTCTTTTCACTGCAGGTTGACTCCTATCTCGGGAACATGGAGGAAAAATGTAAACAGATGATTCCTGCTCTTGATTCCTGCATAGGACCTATTCACTAGTTCACTCTCCTTTCCATTTCGATACATATTTTGTCGTCACTTGCTTTAAAACTTTATCCTTCATACTATACTTTAGATTCCATACGATAATAAGTCATAGGCCATCCCATCCCATGTATTTTGTCAAATTATGCTATGTATTTTTGTATTTTTTTTTCTTTTTCTTTTTTGTTTTATTTGACTTAAATTTTGCAAAATGTGTCTGCCATCAGGACCAGGTTTTAGATAAGTGTCAGAACTATTGAATCAATCTCATTCCTGTGGTTCTGTGGCCTTTTACACAAAAATTGTATTGATTGCGGGTAATGAATTGTCTTGAATAAAAATAAGAATAAATTGTTGTTTGACACAAATGATATTTCTATGAATGAACTTTGTGATACTTGTTATTTGGCGAAATTATAAAAAAAAAAAAAAAGAAGTATGGAATACATTGTAACCAGGGATTTACGAATCAAGCACATTTATGCCATGAACAGCCCACAGGTCTCTGCAGATGTAGATATTTCTTTGTCTATCCTGCAGCATCAATTCTTAATTTATATGAGTGAAATGACTTTATTGCTCTAACGTTGACAGCTGGACATTGTGTCTTGTTGATTGCTTGTAAAAAGCCAAAAGAAGGTCTTATGGGAAAAATATTTGGTTTCTGGTGAAAGGTTTCTAAACTTGCATGGTGAGTTCCCCCACAGATTTTTAGGCACATCTTGGGGTTTGTGATTATCTTTATTTGAAGGAGTTGTGTGTAACAAGCTGTGGATGTTGTAAAAGGTCTGTTCATTACTCTAAACACATTAAAAAGAGTACTTTTAACACAAACTGCTATTTTTCCTTCCCTTGGGTGATTGTAACTCACTGTTTAACCTCAGTATTCCCTTACAATAGGCAAGATCAACCCCACTGATTGATGGATTAATAATTTAATCGGATTACAATACACTAACAATAAAAGAAGACGTAAAGAATCATGTTTTATTTTCCAAGAGGAGAGGAAACATCCAGGGCATTTTGCAATATTCTGTTTCTTGTGCAATTATACTACAGTCAGTCATTGATTCATTTCTTTTGCATGTACAGTACAGGCCGATGGAAAGTCTTTCACGTGTTGAGTCCAGGCTATGCAATAAATAAGAGGTACATGGAGAACGATAAATGACATCGAGCAATTACAAATTCAGAAGCGCTTCTTTTTTGATCATGAAGGATCAAACGTAGTTGCTCTGGAACCACAGTCAAACAAATAGAAAATAAGAAAATTGTGAGAAGTTCAAACGCTAGAATATGTACTGCTCAAACCACAGATAAATGACACTTTTTATTTTCCACTGGTTTGAATTTACACGAACAGCTGTTTACATGAACAGCTGTTTTGCCTTAAGCTGAATCATTGATTGAACTAGTAAAACTTTTTTGGAAAGATCCCTGAAAGCTAAAACATTGCTATTTTTGCATAATAAGGCTGACATTGGTAACCATATACACACTGTACATCATAGTTTGTAGTTACTATTGAGCCATTTCAGTTGACACACAAAAGGGCCACTTGATGTTATGATACATACTGTACATCCTTATAAACTGCAATACAGTGCTATGACCTACACTGACACAAAGAATAACTTTTCAAGTGTTGGTCTTTACTCGCAGCTGTGCAAAGATCTTACGTGTCATGTAAAATTTGAAAATATATCACAGTATCAAAAACAACTCTTCACAAATCCAGTAAACAGAACTCCTCATCCAAGTCCTTCATTCATTCAGCTGTGTGGATCACAAACTACTGCATGTTAAATCTTAAAGAATTATCTCTCCCTCTCTCCTGTAATGTTTATAGAAATCTGTAACTGTCGATACATGAGCAGACAGTGCATTCAGAGCAGTGGAAGTCTGGTACATATTCATGTCCTGCTCACACACCCACCTCAAGGCTTTATTTTTAGATCCAAACTGCAACAAATGGCTGACCTGCTGAAAAGATAGAAGCACAGAGCCTTGTATTTCTTTCAACATGATTTAGAGTTTGGGATTATCTCCATTATGTCAATTTAACTCAGTCATAACTCCAAACTGCAGATATTTATTATTCTTTATTTTCAGGTCATTGATAGATTGTAACTGAAAAACTAGTGTCCCATCAGGAGCAAAGAAATAAGAGCCTGTACAGTTTTAAACTCTCATGGTTTGTTTATTGGCAAAATATCAATGATCTGTCTGTTCTGCACCTGAGTACTAGAATACTGAAGGTAAAAGTCCCAAACAGCTTCGAAACGTACTCAGTATTTTCAAGAGTGGAAGTACAAAATGAATGCCTTACACTTTTTGCAGCCTATGCTCAGAGTGCTCTGTAAATCTACGAACTGCTTCTGCACAAGTCAGTCAAGTAGTAGTAGACTGTAATTTATTTTTTAGGATGTTGATGCCAAAGAAAAAATTTCTTTTTCCTATTAACAATTTTTAAAACGTAATGATGAAAATAGGGAAGCATCCAACTTCAGAATTTTTTTTTTTTTTTTTTTGATAAAATAAATTGAATATTTTAGCCCAGATGTTTCACATGAATCCAGGTAGGGGCTTTTTAATTCAAGCAAGAGAACCCAACCAAACTGTGGGTGACATGCAAATTGAAATAAAGAGAAAACCACTGAAACTGCAGGCAGTAGCAGTAAGTATAGATCTGAGTACTTAAAGTATTTAATAATGTACAACTAATCCTTTGTTCTCTAAGGCAAGGCATGACCACAAAATCACAAGGGCGTTATGTAAAATCTAAAAATCTTATAAGAGGAGATATCCAACACATTTTTGTGGCTGCGCTTGCAGAGGTTGGGAGGTTGTTTTCTGAATGTCAGAGGGAGCACAAAATGTCAGATCGTTGTTGTTCCATTCATGCTGGTAGGCCTGCGTCCCCTGCCTGCACCCTGGCGGCGAAGCGAGTGGAGGGCCACAGCGCAGCAACCTCTCAGCAGGGACCCAATATGATACACTGGCATGATGTCCCGTGGTGCCCCTCGACACAGCCACGCCATGGTCGGGACCACCGGCATTGCCAAAGCCAAAAGATCTATGAGGAAATACCGGCTCCAGTGACACAGCTGAGGGGGATACCCGTCTTCATTTGCTCCTTCAGTTTCCTCTGTATTGTCCTCTTCTATCTCCAGTACTGTAGCTTCCTGCCTCACTGGCAGTGGAGCTGTAGGGTGGGGCTGGCAGGTGTGGGGCTCTGCTGGCATCTTCATTACCTCCTCTGGTTTGTCGGGTGGCAGCGGCTCTAAGATGAATGAATGCTCAAGAGGGGACGCAGGAGGGAAAGAGGATGGGATTAGATGTGTCTCCGAGGGAGTGACGTCTGCTGTGGCTAAAGAAATGACACTCAGCTCCTCTGCACCGCTCTCCTCACACAGCCAGGTCATGGTCGGGCTGCAGGCCTGAGAGCGGACCTCTGGCTTTTTCTCTGCTGCAGGAGCAGGAGTGGGGATAGGGTCAGTGACAGGGACAGCAGGAGTTGCTGCTGTTACTGGGGCCTCCTCCTGAGGTAAGTGCAGGAACAAGTGATGATGGGGGAGGTAGGAGTGTCCAGTGCACCGACAGCTGCTACTGAGAGTGTGGCAGGAGTGTGAGATCGGCAGCACAGTCCCCCCACTGCACAGCCTTTCATAGGTAGAAGAGCGTGGCACAGTAAGGGGGCCTCGGATGTGGCCCTGTGATGGCAGCTGCTCTGACAGGAGAGCTGCCTCCAGGAGCAGGTGGGTTTGTCCTGCTGGGCGAGATGCTCCACTTACCTCAGGAGCGTTTGAGCTGCGTTCCAGCTGCAGAGCCTCGCTGCTCAGTCGGGTGTAGGTGGTGCTGCGGCTCAAAGTGCTGGCCGGGGAACAGCCACAGGAGCGAGACTTCCCCCCTGGCCGAGCTCCTTGCAACCCTGAGTATGGCTTGTGGTCGTGGGGGTCTTGTTCACGGGCACCAATGTTGGACCTCACTGACTCTACCACTTCCTGGAGGTGCTGGATCTCCTTGCGTGCCTCTTTAAGGGCTAACTGGGCCTCCACGCGGTGGCATTCCTCTTCTATCCAGTCTTCCTGCATCCTGTACAGTTGGCTCCTCAACTCATCTATTTCACAGTCCCTATTAAAGTGTAAATAATAATTGGATAGCAGAGTTAATTTTCTTTGAATAGAAACCAAATGTGACAGCTTTGTGCACAGGAAGTCTAAAAAGATAAGATTTAAACTTGTGCCCTGCCCACTGGTTACAACAAATGTTGAAGGACAAAAAGGTTTACCTGTGTTGTAGTCTTTCAACATTCTCCCTCAGCCTGGCTCGCAGATGTCGTATACACACCTCCTTCTGTTGCAGAGGTGTAAGGTACTGCTCCGGGGTGGGGGGCCTGATCCCATGGTTGTCGCTGCAGGCTGTGTGCTTTGCCTGACGCCTGAATCAACACGCATGTATAAAGAAATCATTTACGCAAAGTGCTTCTAGTGAACCTTTAGTGAATTTGTGGATGGATTACTGAATGGGCCTACTGGGCACAGGCCCAGGGGCCTGAGATGTCAGAGGACCCCCCTGGGCCAGAGCCTCAGCATGAAGTGATTGTTAATGCTTCCTGTTTGGAAGTCACAGAGCTCAATTAAAAGACAAAAATACCACAAAGAGACACAAAACAGTAACAGAGAGGCTAAAAATGACTACAAAAAGAGACGCAATATGTCCCCAAAGAAACATAAAATGATCACAAGAGATGAAAAATGGAAAATAAATACAAAAAACAACTACAAACGCAGTGACCACCACCGTTTTGTGCCTCTTTCAGTCTGGGAACCCTATATTGGAGGGTGGGGTGACTTTTATCTGTCTGTGCCCATGGGCCCATTTTTCTCATAATCCATCCATGAGTGAACTGTGCAAAGCCTGTGTTATTAGATGTCTGTACACTAGAAACAAATGAAGCAAATCAAACTGCTGTTGAACTACGCCCTGGAGGCAATGAACAAAGCTACAGTAAACATGAGTAGTTCATAAAAGTGCTGAAATAAATGAAATATTGCCCTTTATTAACAACGTCTTTGATACACTGCTGCAGTGTGAAGCATAGCAACCGACCAAAGGCCCTTCAATAAACCTGTAATGAAGCTTATATGGTTAGTTTTTGTTGACATTGTGTCAGCAATTTGTTGATTCAACTCCACAGTAACTTGGGAGGGTTTTAGTTTGTGGTCTTGTTGAACTATTACATTAAGTGTTTCGAATGTTGTCCATCCCAATTTACATAAATAGGAGTGGACAAGAAAAGCTGATGTTGTATAAAGAGAATTATATGATTAGATCTTACCTGGGTGTACTAGGATACGTCCGGGCGGTGGGGCTGCTCTCCACTGCCCTGCCCCGACCAGGGTAGGTGTGGGTACTGGATGTATCACTGGAATATCGCCCACTGCCGCCACTAGTGCCCACTGAGCGCCTTGAAGGGAGAGATCGTATAACACTCATTTACTAAATACTGTATGTGAACAAATATGTCATTCAGGTGTATAAAAAGAGAGGCGTGAAAAGGAAGCAACAGTACCTGCGCTGACCTGATGAGGGCTTTCGACTCGGAGTGAGAGACATTGATGTGCAAGGGACCTCCAACCTCTCCGCGGTTGTCTCTAGAGAAGGATGCTAGGAGCCCTCACAGCCGCACTGTAACAAGCATAAAAGCATGAAATCGGCTGATGATAATCTGAACTATAAAAAAAAAAAAAAAAGATGCAGAATGTATTCCGAAAAGCTCTCCTCACTAATCTACATCACAGTGTTCAGTAAAGAAAAGCAAAGAAATTTTCCTTCCAAACGGTTGTCTACTGCGTTGGGGTCATTATGGGCTTCTTCACTGGAAGTCAGTGACAGTAGCCTGATAAAAAAAAAAATAGTCTAGGCCAGCAGCAAATAAAGCCTCCTTTCTGTGCCGACACAAAGGGGACACAGTGAGTTCACAGTCAGTGCAGCTGCCTCTCTCTCTGAGCTGTGTCCTCGCGTCTGCAGAGCTGCAGATAAACATGAGAAACACTCACATTAACTGGTGTCAAAGGAAAATTGGACATTTGGTGGCTGGTGCAGTCGAGAGGGGTCACTAGGGTTACTACCTGTCTACAGTCGGTTAAGAATTTCCCTCTACTGTTGATCGAGCAGGGGCGGACTCCTGTATACAGTGCTACAGTGGCTCCGATACTACGTACAGCTAAAAGTGTTGGTACCCTTACATCTCATTGAAACAATATTCTTGTTCTTCCTGAAGAGTGTTGAAGGCTAAACCTCTTTTGTCCTGCACACTTCCATGTTTTTACTTTAACACAGAATAAAACGCCGTGAAAAGAGCTGTATTCTTGTTTATACTACGACTTTCAAAAATGGCCTGAACAAAAATGACTGGTACCCCTGAGAGGCGGTGATAAATAAAAGGTTTGTGGTGATATTTCCAGCAGACTGACGTCTTCAATTAGTATCACAGGTGTCTTCAATCTTCTAATTAGTCATTCAGCCAATTCAAATGGAGTCCTTGTTTGTGCTGTTTGGTGTCATTGTGAGCACCGCACTCAACAGGGACGAGCTGATCTTGGTGCAATCAGTGGAAGAAGACGAAATTCTTGGAAATAACTAAATGGTACTTTAGAAAATCCATGAGGTGATGAAATTAATAATTTAATAATTAATAGTTTAATTTCACTCTTATAATAGCCACCCTTTAATTATTTGTAGTTTTCATATTTTATTTGCTGTTAACTGATCAATTATATTGCCTCTATTTATCTTCCCAACATAAAGAGTATTGAAACATTTTAAGTATTCAAAGTTATAATCAAGTGCTTAGTCAGATTTAAGGCTCATTTACTTTATTCTTGATAAGGAAATATCTGATCAAAGAATATGATCAGATATTTCCTTATCCTCTTTTTTCTAACTTAAGACTGTATTTTATGTGGGTTAATCTTTTCATTGTATTAATTAATGTATTGAGTTCACTTTCGACTTTCTATGCATTCATGTTTGTGTTTGTTTAGCACATTTTAAACTGCCCTTCCCGAACATGTACGGTATCTTTTGTTCAGCACAGTTATGACTCTGACTTTCATTTTGTCAATTTAACAAAGTATAAAGCTGCCACGGCCCTAAAATACAAGACAAATTACACAGAAACCTATAAAAATTTACAAATCTTTAATCATAAGCACTGAAAACATTACTGTTGTAACAACATTTTCATTGTGTATGTCTATTCAGTAAGTTAAAGGTTTCTTTAAAAAAAGGTTTTATGGTCTACAGACATAAATGAGAACGCCCCACACTAGCATTTTAAATCGACTCCTGGCAGCTTTTCTCTACATAATACATAAATTATGTCACTGTAAATAAAACATACAGTGTGTTCACTGATGACTCCATAATGCACTGAACATTTTGAAATATATTTTTTAAAAAGGTGCCAAAACTTGTAAATATTCCCCAAAGTGACGTAGTCTTTAGGCACCAATGTCTTTAGTCAACCCTAGTCTTTTTGTTCATTTTTACTATATTTTGTTGGCCTAAAATCTGTGAAAGTCTAAATACTTGAATTAGCCTGTGAAATATTCACCATGTATAAGTTTTTAATTGTAGAAAACTGTTGAAACCCTCACATCCAAAGAAAAACAAAACATGACCTCAGTGACCTCAATAGTAGCTACAATGCTGCCTAGTAAGTAATAGTAATGAGCAATTTCAGATTATTTCCCCTCGGTATCGGTTAGTTTTGTCACCATCCCAGGTACAGAGAAGCTGAGCCCTGTCTGGCGGAAAAAATCCAGGATGAGGACAAAATGTTCTCAGCTTTCTTCAGAAGTCCCTGCAGCTCTGTAAAAAGCTTAGGGAACCTGCTGATCTAGGCCTAAAATACACCTGCTGATGGATAAATCTTTGAAGTGGCTGCAGACATAAACAGGCCTCCACTCTGCTGATAATGAAAAGCAGACTAAACGAAACGGAAGCATCACATTTGTCCTATATTTAAATTCTAGGACAATGAGGCAGGAAATCTCAGCTCCTTCTCCTCTATCTGCGCAACAAGTGTCAAGTATGTTATTGGTGAGAAATACGCCATCATCTTACGTAAGTGTGAGTATCGATGTTTGCTGTGGAGGCAAGCATCAAACAGCAGGTGGATGAAACTGTACTTAAAGCAGCATTTAGACATGGAAATGAGAGGCGGTGATTTTTTTGCTTTTCTTCCAGGATAAAACATCGTAAGGCGCAGGGATGATGCGCGTCATCCATTAATAATCACTATGGCATTACATCGCAGGGTTTGCATTTGTCGCCCACAATAAAGCCGTGTTAGATAAGCAGAAAGGTCTAGTGTGATGATGTTGAGGAGGAGGATTACAGCAGCCGAAAAAAGTCTCACCATTGTTTTTCATTGCCAACTGACTACAGTGGTCCACAAACAGGACGTTTAACGCCCCAGCAGATACTTTCCATGAAGGAAAACGCAGCCCGGTCGCTTCTGATACAAACAGCTGACTAACTGTTTTAGTCCCAGCTGTGTCCTATATACAAGGATATCACCGGGTTTCTGAGTCTCTTCTGGCAACCGCAGACACACAAAACACCAACACAGCCAACACTAACAATGCCTATATGAAACGCTACCATTTCGGCAGGTGGGAGTTGTGCATCGCAGAAAAGCCTCGGTTCCCGCCAGACTTGATGGTCGCTGAACAGTCCCTGGTGGTGGCCGCAGGAAGAGAAGATGCTGCTGATGGTGATGATGAGAGTCCATCCTGCAGCCATGAAGCCCGGAGATGAAATGAGGCAACTGCGTCTGCTGCATCGGTGCTTCTTAAAGTGACAGTAGGGGATAATAATGCTTCATTTGGCAGGAACTAACTGCATGAGTGGTTATTAAAAGCGTTTTCATGGCAGGGATAATAATGTCTGATAGATTAGAAAGCTCCTCAGTCCAGCACTGACAGCAGGCAGGGTGATGATGTGTCCAGTTTGAGTGGTACACCATGTACAGCACCTCAGATGATAGATGTACAGAGACTCATTCACTGTGTAGTGGCTACAGGCCAGGTAGAGCAAAGTTTGTATGATATGATGGAAACACATGAAAAACAGACCCATTTATTTTATTACAACCCACATCCGCAGACATCCCTACAAAATATTTACAATTTCAGAATGGCTTAAACTCTATAATAAATCCTCTACACTTCTTACATAATGAACTCCAAGAACAAGTGGGAAATGGGTGTGTCACTCAGCTCCAGTTTTTTACAGTCATCCCTATGCCCTCTAAACATATGGTATGTATTAGTGGTCCCTCAGTGTCATGTCTGGACCTGTGATAAAAGAAAATTATTTTTCTGCCCTCTAATGTGAGATGTCAGGACTGCATTGAGCACAAAATAAGGTGAATTAAAGTCAAATTCTGACAATTTGTAGCCTAATAAATATTAAATAATACATTTCACACATCTACTATCACTGTATAATTGAACATGAGTCACACCATCTGTTGCTATAGAACTGATGACTCCATTTTATAGATTTAAGCTGCAGACAGAAAACGGTGAACATAACATCTAGACAATTAGAATGACTGGTATATTAATTGAGCTTCGTGTCCCAAACTTCGGTAACATAAAATTGTTTGTAGAACATCACAATGTACACAAAGTAAATATTCAGCCATATTTTTGTTTCATATAAATGCCAAATATTTATTTTACTCCCTGAAACAGAGAAAAATGTTAAATAGATACTTTAAAAGGAAGTATTGAGGAATGAACCGATACAAAGCAATTATTTTCAACATTTACTTATTATTAATTGCCAAATTGTGCTTTTTTTCTCTCAGACAAAACACAACAGGAATTCAAGTGGCACTTGGTGCATGACAGGTCTTGCATACAAGTTTACTTTCTGAAGAACAATAGTTGGTATAAATAAATGAGGAATTTGTGTCAAACACTGAATATGCAGGAAAGCACAGTACCTAAAAGACCTCAAGAAATGCTCCATAACATGCTGTCAATATAAAAAATAAATACATTCATAGGATCTTTGAGATTACCATTTAAAATATTTTTGAGTTGAAGAGTTTTAGATGAAATGTTTTTGTCATTGATAACCTCCGCTTTCTCACAAATGAAAAGTGCCAAGAACAAGCACAAAGAATATTTACAACATTTAAGACACACACAAACATACACAGGGTTTTTGCAGGTTCACCAAATTTTTGCCAAATTTAAAGCTTTTTAATCCCACATAGAATAACATACATGTTTCACCATCATACCGGCTAAAGTATAAAGCTATGATTAACAGTTTTCAGTGATTCCCTGCAGTTTATAACAATAATTCCTGATAATATAATTTATTAAAATAAAGCAAATTTTTTGACAACTACTTAGATAATTGATTCATTGTCATTTTTAATGCAAACATTTAATCTGTGTTTGCTGGTTTTACTAAGTAAAAAATGTAAATTTGCTTTGATGCTTTTTGGGTTGTATATGATGGTAAATGATAACGGAGTTTTGAAACGGTGGGCGAACGGAACAAGAAAACAAAGCTGAGATAAAATATTTATGATTTTTGTAAATGAAATTTAAGACTTATTTAATAACTTTTATGGTCCTTCTTTTACCGAACTGAATTTAGTGCTTTTGAAGACCTGCACATACCCTGGTACAAACGTGTGTGACATATATTCAAGTTAGTGTTTTCTTTTCAGACAGTTTTTAAACGTTTCCCAGGGTAAAATTTATTTAACCTGTGCAACTCTTGTGAGTCAGATCCAGTAGAACCAGGACCACAACTCATTTATGAACCCAATTATTTTAAGAAGCTAATTCCTGTTTTACCAATTGTAGAACATGGGTCCTGGTGTGACAAAGATGTCCTCATAGGGAGTGCTCTGCTGCAGGTGGAGAGCTTGTTGTTTTTTCAAAACAAGCAGACAGAAGAAAGTGGCTGCAGCCAGCGAGCGATTGCCCCCTTCACAGAGTGCCTTCAAGCTGAATGTGGTTTCACGGTCGCCCTGGCTCTGACACACACACGCACACGCACGCACGCACACACACACACACACACACACAAATTTAATTTCACTGCATCATCTCTAATCCTGTCCCGGCTTTCTCATCTTTAAATCCCTGTCCACTGTGGCAACAGTCCTGTGTCATGGACATGCAGACATTACAAACGCATTGCTCTGAATTAATGTAATTTACTTGTGACACTGAGTAGTTAGTGTTATTGTGATGCTAATATGTGAAATTTTATTTTTAGGTTCTTACTTTCAGAGTGTTCAGAAGCTTCTGTGCTCGCCTGGTTATCCTCTTCTCCTCAAAGTCCTGGCTGTCCAGCATACACTGCAGGTTAGAAAAAGAGGACCATAATTCACTTAGGGATGCTCGGCACATCTCCAAGGCAGCATGTGAAATTAACACCCGCCATCTGTCAAACGCTTGTCTACTGTACCAGCCATTTTCACAGATAACCATCTATTATTAGTTCACTTTCATCCCAAAGAAAAAGGCGAGTGAAATGTGGAGTCTGACAGAGTCTAATTCCCTGCCCTGTTTCCATTTGAAACTGTGTGTGCTCAAAAGCACCTGAGTGTGGAGGGATGTTGACTGAGTCTCCTGCTCCATGTGAGATGGGTGGACAAACATGGAGACTTCTGATGGGAGTTCTGGATCAGTGAACCCTGACCTCTTTTCATCCTGGTAAACACACAGAGCAGATTATAAACTAAAGGTGAAAAAATGTGGAGGAGCATCATGAATGAGAATTTAATCTTCTATACACCAGAAATTATACTATGATACTACCTCTGAGTAACTCTCATTCTGGTTGTTGTTCATTTGATCAAGAACTGTCAGCTCAGTGTGGTGTGTCTTTTCAGTGTTGGTTGATGAATCTACGACACTGATGTCTGTGGTGAGGGCACTCATGTCCCTCTGAACTGTACAGACATAATGATGTAGATTTGGGGAGGGGGAGAAAGAACAGAGGACAACACCAGTGACACACTAAAGTGTGAGATTATAATTCATATAATAGATCTCTCACTGCTTGAATACTGTGTATAAGTTCCTACCTTCTTGTCCATCCTGTCGCATCTCCTCAGCCTCCTCAGTAACACCAAAATATTTCACCTGGAAAACATTCTTGGCAAAGAGCTGAAGAGGCAAAATGAGATTTAACACTGTAATGTAATACTCAGTACAGACAGATTAATTGTTTTATGATATAAACCAACACTGCAGAGAGATTTTATACCTCATTTATCTGTGGAGTTACTACAGTGGAACATGGCAGTGCAAAAAGTTTGTCTGCACCTCCGCTCTCCTTCCACTGCATGAGCTGCAAGGTCGGGGGGGCCATGTCCAAAGGGGCAACCAGGTCTGAATAATCAGAAAGCTGCTTTCTGATGGATTCATTGGTCAGCTCTTTAGCCTGGTCCACAATCAACTTGCGTTTCCTCTTCCCCCTCTTCTTTTCTGAGTTCGCTGAAGAAAAACGGTAGAAGGTCAAAGGAGTGCTGGTTTTACTTTAAGTACAAACAGTCTACATGTGGCACAGAATGGACACTGGATAAATTGTTATAAGTTTTTTGGTTCGACTAACAATGTTTAGATTTGTAAGCATTGTAAATGTGTAGAGTTTCAGAGGGTTGACGCCAGCATTTCTGATAGTGCTTGAATAACTGACTGTTTTTATAATATGCATTTGAGAGTTAAAGGACCACAGTTTGACAGGTGTTAGTTTGCACGCCTACGAGTGATGGCCACAGGCTCAAGGGCAAAGGCTTCCTCCTCATCAGCAAGCAAGGTGGTCTCGTTCACTGTAGGGGTCTCTACGTCCACTGAATGTCTTCTGTGAGCATCTGTAAAAAAAAAAAAAAATACAGAATCAATTCTGAGTTTAAAAAAATCTTTGAATGCAAACGTACTCACTTGATGACAACACTATCCAGTGGTGCTGCTGTGCCATCAACCAAAACCATTATCCGTACAAATAACCCAAGTGGAAAGTACAAAATACAGGCATTCAACTACTATAAAGCAACTATTCAAATGGAAGTGCTTTACATTGTTAGTGGAAAGTGAACACAGGATGTAAATAATGATAAAGTGTTTATCCTGGTGTATTATCACCTTGTTGATAATTATCTGGATTCTCTGGATCTTCTGTGATGAAGTTGGTGGACTCAGCCTTATCACTGGAGTTTGTCAGAAAGTCTATAGGGTCAGTAAAAATAACAAGAATTGGTCACTCAAGCAGCAAGAGAATCAGCACAAATAATGACTTACCTTTTTTTGATGGGCAAAGATTTCGATTGTTTTAGTATTTTATTGTAATTTGTAGCAGATGTGGGATTTCCTTGCCACAAAGAAACAACAATGATGAATGAAGGCAGAGAGAATCTTTTTCTATTGGGTTATCATTGAAAGGTTATCAAAAACTGATAAAACAGTGAAGCTATATATTTCTTTGCATCCCAGTTCAGAGGCTGGGTCCTTGAAAGGATACACCCCATCAGAGAACCTGAAGGCCAGGCTGAATCTGTGCTTCCTCCCCAAATGAGACAAGCTATTAGCCTCACAGAGACCAAACCTAATGGTGCACTTGGGCAATCCCTGTCAACTTGTGAAGTCAAATATTTCACAGTTTATGACCAGGACATTGCCCTTAAACTGTTGACAAAGTGCAAACATCACTGGGAAACTGGGGCAAGTCCATGACACCCTCGTATGAGTTTACACTTTGAGTTGTGACATTTCACTGAAACACATAATAAATGTCTGGCAAATAGGACCAGACTAATGGTAAATATATCCATGTACCTTTTGATTTTCTTTTAATGTCTTATGGTCCATTATATAACAACAAGAACAAACAATGAAAAATTCTATCACATAATTAATTATGTCATATTTTATGACATAATCGGACAGCAGATGCTGATTTTGGAAGATCCAGCTCCTGAATTGGGATGCAGTTACTCAAGTCGTTTCCTTCAAGGTATCTCTATATAAGTGATATTTTTTTTTACAATAACAATGTCTGAATTTTCTTTTTCCCCCATTAAAAGGGGGTGCACAGGTTGTGAAGCCCCTGAGAAAAAATTGTGATTTGTTATTTTGAGCTGTGTAAGTAAAATTTGACTTGACAATGTCCAAACTATTTGACAATATGAATGGGTTTGTTCGTAGATTGATTACCCAAATTTGCACCTCTGATCGGCTTTACAGAACTTGGTAGTGATTTTCAGCTCAATGTTTAGCTGTCAGGCTGCAACTTAACCGTTTTGGTTCACTCTCACTGCTCTTATAGCATCATTTTCAGAGTTAGCAACTAGCTGGTGAACATAGTGGAGCATTTAGCAACTAAAGGAACCAGAGATTTCCCTTGATATTGAATATTAAGTGCCAGGTGGACTCAAACACGAATACAAATGAATGATAGCTTTGCTTCCTAACTGATAATTGTATAAATAGGCAAGTGTTCGCTTACAAGTAATATCATAATATCAACTTAAAATATGATGGTATGTCAACTTTGTATTCACAACTTATTTCTGCTGCCCCCAAGTGGTGAAAAGAAATTTGCTACTACATATTTAATGTTACAAGATAAAGTATATTAGTATGTTAATTGGTAACTGGTACTTGCCTGGTTTGCCAAAAATGTTGCTCAAGCCACTATCAACAACAGTAAATAAGTCAAAGACACAAGTATTATATATTTTTCAGCTCAAGATTCAGGTTAAAATATGGCAAAAACTGATCAATTTACAATAACTACCAAGAAGGTCGAATACTTTATCTTCATCTCCAAAAGTGTCTCCATGCTGAGCCAAGCTATGGAAGCTCACATCCAGCAGTGCATTCTGGTGGCTCTGGGACTCTGCTCCTACCCATCAGAACAAACAGGAGGGAAAAAGTTGCTCATATCAAATGCCAGTTCTGCACATAAATCTAGCTTTAGAGAAGAAGGGTGATGATACACATTTTTGTTAGTGTCAACAAATCCTGTGAAAAGACTAGAACCAACAATGTGTTAGTTTGTCTCTCAATACAATCTGACTGTGTCCTAAGGCACACAGCCCCAATGTTCATTCTTGTTGCCGACACAAATCTTTGAAAAAGGTTCACAAAAATATGCTTTCATTACGAAACTGTTTTACAAAACTGTACATTACTATAAAAAAAAATCTGGGGACTTTATTTCTGAATTAATGTTACTCAATCAGTAGTATATAGCATATTTGGTATGCTGTGGTATGTTTTTAGTAGTTTTTGGACAACAGTGGAGCACAGAAGAATGAAAATACAGAAGAGAATATGTAGAAGGATTAGTTCATTGTTGGTAGCATGAAAAATAAAATCAGATTTATTACATCTTTTAAATTTGATTATTATAGAAAAGTTTAATGCAGCAATAAAATTATGCTGAATATACCAAAAGGTTCTGCATTAACAAAATCAAAATAACACATCAGAGAGCAGGTTCTTACCGATGTCTGCCAAGTTCAGAAAGTCATTTCCAAAATCCTCTTTCAAAGTGATTTCCTCTGATCGACTCTGGTTCAATGAAAAGTGGTCCACCACATCTATGTTACTGGTGTCCCAGTATCAAGACAACACAGTGTGGCCACAGACAGAATATTTATCAATTAGTATTAAAGAAACAATCAGTGAACCTCATGTAAATGAACAGGTTAGTCCTTCTTCCAGAATTCAAAACACAAAATCACAGCTTGATTTGAAATGTTTGTAGGAAAAGAGTCTCAATTATGAGCATTTGAGAAATATAAAATTGCTGATTTTCCATTTGTGACAGAAAAGTTTCACTTGCGTTTGTGAATAAACCTGGTTGTGCCTTTTAAACTGCAACATAACTTGAAAACTGCAGTACATAAACAACAGGTTAGGATGTAATGGAGAATAGGAGATAACAGTACCCGAGGGGTGGCAGATGGGCATCAAAAGCAGTGAAATCCTCGACCAAGGTAATTGCTTTTACTGTTGCCTCGAGTCCCTCCTCAGGCATATCTGTCTGACCTGGTGGGTTGAGAGAAAAACAAGGCGAATATAAACATGCACTACTCTGAAGAGAGATATTTCTTTGGAACCGGCAAAAGGAAAAAAATATATAGGCAGTGTACTGTTGCTTTTACAGGTATTAAAAAGCTCATGTTGAGTAGACATCTGAATTTATAGACATCTTAAGGATCTTACACATGCATATTTGTCAGCTGAGCTAATGTAGTATATCTATAAATTATATTGTAGTGTATTGAATTCGGAGATGCTAACTTCTTTGTTGGAAGTGTGTTAGAATATTTTTTTAGCTACAGAAATGTCTGAATGCATTCTGTGTCTGTCCTGTGGGACTGTTCGTTCTGTGTGATATTGTACATTTGAGAGTCCATCAATGCATTTAACATTCTCTAAGAATGCAGTGAGCACGTTGCTTTCCAAAATATGTTGGTTAAGTAATTATGTCTATGTCACCCTCTGGTGGTTGGCCTTAAGTAAAGTTACCAACCAGTATTTACACTAAGTTGTCAGCATATTAGGTACACTTAGCTACAACTAGTGCGGTCTAACACAACAGGCCTGTAACAAATCCTCCTTCCTGAAGGTTATAATGTTCAGTTTTTGTTGAAACTTTATGATCATTTTGGAGAATATAGTTTGGACTGCTGTTGCACAGTATTGAATTATACAGAGGTGTTTCTGTTATTTGGGCCACTCTCATTAATATGAATTGGACAAAAGAATAGAAACACCTGTCGGTGTACCTAAAAAATGGGAAGCTCTGTATATCTGTGCATAGAAACTGTGACAATGACTTAGTTTCTGCACAATCATCCTATCCTTCCAGTCTGATTGCAAAAAAGCCAAATTTCTGCAGTGTTAAACCACAGTCTGCTTTTTCACAGAACAGGTTTTAGCCTCATTTATTCAAGAGGAGCTATCACATACACACTCAAAATACACATACAAAAATAGAGACTGGTTAAAATTGCACATTAAGCAGTTTGTATTTTGAAATGTTATCTTTTTTCCATTCAATAAATGCATCCCTTGGCCATAGTTGTCACTTCCCTTCCTTTGCACAGCCATAATTAACATTTCAGCCAGTCCAATGTAACCACAGGCTTTCAAACCCTGTGGTGCCTCTGTTTGTCAGAGCTATTTAAATAACTGTTTACAAAACAAACATGATGTGATACCTGGCCTGAATGACATTTTAATCTTAACCAGGGCATCGTTGCAGTCTGCCAGGAGATACTTTGCTTTTCTGGAGTAGATCCTGACCACACCGAGGAGCAGATGACCGGATGTACGCAAACCGATTTTCATCTGCAAAGATCAGACATACATCTTAGACAGCACACTTGGTGTACAACTTCCGGTGCCGGGTGTACCTTTTTGATAGAGTTTACCTGTGGAGAAATGATGTCTCTGATGGTTGTTTCCAAATTGCATTCAAATACATGAGCCTTGGTGAGTTTTCTTTCCCAGTGCGCTGCTAACCAAATTTTGGCTAGAGGCCCCCGCTTAGACGTGAAGAGTTGCGTGTAGAACAACATGTTGGAAACTTGGATGTCACCTGTGACAAACACAACACTGATATTAGAGAGTATTTGGGCGTTTTGTCAGAGCTATTTTACCGAAAGTTAAGCTCGAAGTTTGCTAACTTCCAGGGTCAAACTCGGCTAGCGCACCGTGTTCGCTAGGAGGTAACTTTAAGACAGGCTAGTTTTTCGGCTTGCACGTTAGTTAAACGTCATGGCGGCGTCACATCTTTTAATACATCTCACAATTTATGTAGAAACATACAAAGCTTATTTTAATTAATTTCTTTGGAAGTTATGCAATTATTAAGCTAGCTAGATATCAGCTACACAACCTACCTTAAATTTGAAAGTACCGCGTTTGGATGTAAGGAACGTGCAAATCACCGCGAGGAGCAACGGAGCATCAAAAACCCGCCCAGTGGAGCTTTGGTATTAGTCTAAACGTTTACGTTTTTAACAATGTCACATTAAACGTCGAAAGTCCTCACATATGAACATGTATTAACTTTTACAAAAAAAGGGGTTAGTAAAACGTTGCCATGGATTCAGTGAGTTAGCTGTATGAGTTGAGCCCCATTTATTGTTGTTGCTTGTTTTCATATTAAACTATTGACTTTATAGTATGTGTTTGTTTGCATTTGGAAATTTGACGACGCCGAATTCGCTGTAAACAGTTTTTCTTTGCTCTGTACCATTGGATGTTCTGACAATTAATTACTTTGATACACAAAAAAAGTTAAAAAACGCGATGATAAAACATGAAGTTCTGCACTTTTGAGAAGCGTCTTTTTTTTCTATGATTTATATTTGGGTTTATGGACGTTTACTTGAGAAACACTGGAGATAATGATCATATAGAAGAGGGTACGTCACGTTGAATCCAAAATATGTCTGTGTTCAGACTTGACTGAGTTTCTGAGTTAATGAATATTAATAGTGATGTTGGTCGTTTGTGTCTGACAGCAGGCTCAGGATAACTTGTGATTGATAAGTGTGTCTGTTATGATTTTCAGAAGCGTGTCTTTTGATATTTTTAATGACAGCAACAGCACTGAGACGACAGCATGTTGCCAGAATCTGATCTTAAAATATTGTCTATGTATTGCAGGCTATTTGTGAATACACACCAGAGTGAGAGGAGGTGCTCAAACTACTGCTTATAAGCAGCTTCCACTAGAAAAAGACTGAGGTAAGTGGGGCTATTTTTAAGCTTTTTTAATGATAAAAAAAGAGAGATGCAAAAAAATCACTCAATGGCCACAGAAAAGATGCAAAATGACCATAAAGAGACAAGAGAGAATAACTATGTGGACAGTCTGGGAGTCTTGTTCCTATGTAGGAGAGGTGGGGGGTCTTTTACCTGGACTCAGTCTTTGCACAAGGATGGAGGGTTGGATGGAGGGTTGCCATCAAATTATGAAAATGGAATTTGGGGCCAGAATTGTTGGTTCAGTTTGCCTGGCAGTGCTTCCTCATATTTTTCCATTTGTATGCACTAGAGGGCACCAGGGCATAAGCACAGAGCCAGTCACCGAGATACTGCCTCTAATTCAGCCCAATACAACAGTTTTACTTAAGAACAATCTTAAGACTGCGTATGTCAGAGAGTTGTTTCTACTCTTGGGTAAATGTTTGAGCCTGAGTTTGTCATCTGCTGTAGAGCTGCAGCTAACAATTATGTTCATTACTGATTCAAAACGGAGGCAAAAAAAAGACACAAAAGGAGCCTGATAAACACCGGTAAATAGTTAATTAAAAGATATTTAGTCATAGTGGCCATATAGCAGGTACCTCCTCCAAGACTTTTAAGTTTGGAACAATATACAGATGAATAGATTGTTTAATTATTTATTTCCGTGCAGCATCATAACTAGCTTCATTCTGATTAATACAGGAGGGTGTGGGTGTGATGTTAAGATGAACCTCCGAGACGTGACTGTGGACTTCTCAGCCAAGAGGTAAGAGCCTACACACAGAGACACATCCCTTAATCTCTCTTTTCCCTCTTTTTTTCTGTCTCACTCTCTTTCTTTCTGTCTCTCTCTTTTTGTTTCTGTCTCTCTCTCTCTCTCTCTCTCTCTCTCTCTCTCTTTCTTTCACACACACACACACACACACACACACACACACATACTTGAGAACAGAGATTGTCCTCAAGTCACCATTGAGGCGCCGATCTCAGTCCGAGAATTAAACATGCCAAAATAAATTTGTGTTTTGTATTAACTGCATGCCTGGGGTTGTGAGGCTGCGCCAGAACAGCTGGTATGGCAGGTCACAGTCTGCATTTCAACAGAGAGGAAGAGAGACAGAGTTTAAGAGTCAGAGTTTTTAGGGAAATGGAAGAGAAGAGGACTGGTGAGTGAGAGTGGGACTGTAAAGAGGAAAACCAGATGACGATAAGAATGTGCAGTACTATATTTTGGATCTTTTGCTGTGTAAGATAACTGTCATTATCTCTGATGTGACTCTTAATTGAATCTCTTTTATATTCGGGTGCTGTGCTGGGTAAACGCTCACTCCATCTGGTTCTGTCTGTCTCTACAAAAAAAGCCTGCACAGCCCAAAATCAAGAATCTCAAGAAACAAAGAATTGTAGGTTTTGAAAAATACCCACCTACTATATGTGTCCATGCAGGATTATTCTGCCAGTTTCCTTAAATGTTTTTTTTTAAAATATTATACTGGGGAAAAATAAATAACTTTGCATTTCAGTTGATCTTTTGTGCATATTTACGTTGGCTCCCTGCTGGCATAGGAGTTCAATTCAGTTCAATTCAACCTTGTTAGAAGTAAATTACTGCAGTAGATATAGATATACATATTAATGTTTTGTATTTCCAAGATTCAACATCCTATGGGCTTTTTATATGCGCTTTTTGGATGCACATACATATTATCTTCAAAGGCTTGGCAACCCCCCCTCCCAGCTGTAGCTTTGCTGTCATCATGATTTCAGTCAGTGTGGTCAAAGATACTCCTCTGAAAAAGCCGTCTCATTGGAAAACAAAGATATGAAAAAGCTGCAGTAAAATGGAAGTATTACAGTCCATTAAGTGGGAAATATTTTATTTCCCTCTAAGAGTGCCCTCCCAGAATAGGCTTCCAATCTACCAAGTGAAACATCAATTTCAACATCTCATTAATTGTTTGGCTGTTTTTTCTTTTAGTCAGTGACATGGTTACACCTTCAAGTGCTTAACCAAAAAACTGATTTGTCCTTTTATGTAGACAAATGATTAGATGGATGGACAGTCTTTTGTAATGAGCTATTTTATTAGCTATTTAAGCTAATTAAGTAATGAAGTAATATGAAATACACGGTTGTTTTGGTTTTTGTTGATTTTTGAGGCACTTTGTCCTAAAATGTCGAGTATGTTGGAATGCAAGCATTACACTTTTATTTGGTCTTAATCTTTCAGTTTCTCTGTCTTCGGAAGCACTAAAGCTGCTGTTTCAGCCTTTAGAAATGTTGCACACCAACCCAGGAATTTTAAACAGACACCGCACCAAGGTGCTGCCAATAATGTCAGTCCACTCCTTTGTAGAAAATGAGATTGCAAGTGAATTTGAACCTTGTGGGCTCTCAAGTTAATGAACAGTTCCCAAAGCAAAACGTCCTCACAAATTAAAATGAGCCACAGAAGTGTTTTTTTTTTTTGTTTTTTTACATCATTGGATCATTTTTACAGGAAAAAAAAAAACTTTTTAAGTGTTTTCTTTTGACTTCGCTGTTATGCTAGAATTGGCTAGAGTCAAGTCATTCTCCCTTAACCATATTTTACTCTATCATTGATCTTCATGACATGTTTGTGATGTTTAAAAACACTGGGCCTCCTAGTTTGAAAACAGGAAAGCATTTCAGATCAATCTGATAACAAACTTCCACTGAATGTTTTATTCTTTAGTAAATAAGGCTGCACAAGAATTGGATTTTGATCAACACACACAGTATGTTTTCCTTTATATACATACATGACGCCACATAGCACAGTAACCACGTTAAAGAGGGAAAGCAGAATGAAATACAGTACAGTGCTGGGTGTTCTGACTTTTCAGGAAAGCTACTCGTCAGTCATACTGTACATGCACGACATGGTTGTTACTATGATCGACTGATTTAGTTGATGACTTTTTAACCCAATACTTTGTGTAAATGCACATTATTTAGCAGAAACTACAAACATAAGAGCATCGACAGTATAATCTAATGTGCATGGAAGATTAAGGGCACTGATGAATGAAGGAATCTGCTAAAAGAAAGGGCTGGTTTTCACAAAATAAAAGTCTGAATTTCTGTCAGAACTAATGACTAAACATGTAATTGACTTCTAGTCCAATTTTTAAAATCAGTGTTCATATCAGATTTAACAGTATTAAGGCCGACAGTATGCAAACTTGGTTTTGCCGGTTTTACCCGACTCTCTGTAGTAGGAGAATAACTACAGGCTATGTAGCACAGTGGAGCTTTGTCGAGCATGGACCCCTTCATCAAAGTGACTAAATCTTTCTTTTTATTATCAAACACTTGAAACCTGTAGATTCTAATGGAGACGAGGAGAAAACATCCATAGAAACATTCAAGCCTACAGCAGGCAAATGCTTGATCGTTTTGGGCTGAGTACCACTTTAACATATTCATGCAACAGTTACACGTGTCTTTATAAAACTTGATCTTAATTGGTTACATATTAATCTGCGAGTCCACAGAAGGGACCGTAAACAATTTCTTCATCTCCTTCACAATCCTTCACAATAATTCAATGTAATTTTTTTCTTTTCATTTGTTTTGTTTGCACTGGCAAACAGGGTTTATCCTCACATTAAGCAGTATGTTCCGGCTGTACACAAAGGGCGATGAGCGTCTTAAAAATCTCACACATTTGTCTAATTAACCTTGAAGCTAGACCTCGTCTGTTCCTTCAGAATCCAGTGAAGTTACAGTGCAGTAAAATGAAACAGGAAACAAGCCGACACAGAAGTAGGCGTCACAATATTAGAAGTATAAATTT